CATCAAATAGAAAATCAGTATCCCACTTGTCATACCCACCTGTCACATGCCCTCTTTCAGAAATTGCCAATAGTTCTTTCTGACATTTAATTCTATATTATTTACAACCAATAGAAAGCAAAGGTTTTAATCTAACAAAGAACTGTCAGTTTCTCTTCCAGTTCAAACTTTATTCTCAAAGGAAACACATCGATGAGCTTGGCTGAATTTTTAACAGCTTGTGTTGCATAGTTAAAAAGCCACAAAAATTGTGATAGCTTTCAGACACTGTTTGCTTTATGCATGTTATTATTCTGTGTGCATTACGTAATCAAATAAAAAATTATTCAGTGCAGTAGTAGCATTAGTACAAAAAGTACTATTCTGGACAGTCAAAATAAAAAAAAAAGAAGAAGAAGACCCAAGTACGTACTTAATTTCTTGTTTTTCATGTGTATTCTTTATTTATTATTATAAAAGTAACTACAATGTAAAACATACAAACTTTATAGATTAGATTAGGTAAAATAAAGAACAATAATAATGAACATTTTTCCCAAGGTACACTTGCAAGTAGCACATGCATTATATAAGTCAATAGGGTAATGAACTCCACGTTCACCAACTAATTTTCAAATTTTATGGTAGGAATATTAATTTAGACACAGTTCAAAGGGCAATAAAACAATAACATTTAAATATAAACAAATGTACCCTGTCACAAATGTAAAGCTGTTTAGAAAACACATATGTTTTCATGTTACAAATTAAGTCATTATAGAAAGAAAAGAGGGTAATTTTGACTTATGTTTCTTTTTTTGGTGGTTACGAGGTTGGTCATTTGTAGAGTAAGAGTAGAAAAAATAACAGATAGAATATTATTTTTTGCTGAAAAATATTGTGTTATGATTATTTAGGAAGTTTTAGAGATCATACAAATGAAATGTGAACATTTTCAGATGAATAAAATTTCTAATCTTAAGACGAAAATCACTTTGCATTTGGACTAGAAAACTACTCCATACATTCACAGACAATTCTTTGTTAGAAATACATAATT